AAAACCCCAAAGTAGACTGCGCATACTTCACCTGCCCAGCACAACAGGATTCGAAGAAGCAAAAAAGTGATCCTGTCGGCAACGACGGGACAGATCCCCCTGGAGAAGGAGATTTACCGAGCGTTGACGAAGGGGAGCCAGATTCAAGACCGGAAGACGAGGATGAGAGCACGACGGACAAAGAAGTGAAGGCTCTTCTTTGCGTCACCACCCCCAATGCCCTGACGACCAACAATGCCCCATACACGTAAGTTGAATTACAGCGTATGCATCGCATCGCTTGTATGGCTTCATGCCAGCTGAGTGCTACAATGCCTGCTTGGACAGCCGTTCCTCTCAATAAATGGTGGTTTTCGAGTGTGACATGTGCCTATCAGGCAAGTCCAATGGGATCAGATCACCGCTGGATTCAACAAAAACGCTGCGCCTGCATTGTCTACGTTCCTTGGCTTCGCTGCAGTAGCAGTCAGCTGTCTTCTCCTGTGAGCGCCCTGCCAATTTCATTCCACATCGCACGCAACCTATTAAGAATATGTTTAGTGCGAGCAATCGTTAGACATGGTGTCTAACGAGCGCTTGAAACTCTAGAAGCTAAAGGGCTTCGGCTCGGGAAACTTTCGGAGCCACCTCAGTGCAGCTGTGTAGGGAACCTGGCGCTCCTGAAAACACAGCCGGCCGGGCTTTTTTTAAGAGTGCAAGGACATACAATACTGATTACAGCAGTGGAATAACATCGGATTCAACTGGGATACCTGGACGCTGTGATAGGTTTCACCTGTCGGCCTTGAAATGATATGAATTGCAGCTCACCATAATGCAACTAGTCCTCCAAGGCAAGACTACATACAAGCACAACCAAGTTCCCTTTGCAATTCGGCGTGAAGAAAATACTGTAAACAGCCTACATGGCCCATAGTATGGAGCCTGCACACCAGGGATGTACGTATACCAACTTTACAGACCACATTGTGCCAAATCCCGTACGTTAACTACGCAGAAACAGAGAAGGGTCCGATTCAGCATCAGGTTTCTGGGTTGGAGCAGCAAAACAACCCGCGCGAAAAAATATGCAACAAATTAAGGTCGCCAAATTGTTTGCTCCATTGACAGTGCACATAGCTGCAAGCGCATGGAATCGGGACTTCTTTTTTCTAATGGAACGCGCTTGTGCTCCACGAAGGGTCCGGATTGAAGAGAAGAAAGAGTATCTGAACCGTGGGCGCTCAGCCAGCCCCACACACTTCTCTACAGGGACCATCCACACCACACCTATGCGAAATAACCTCAATAACGGGTGTTAAATCAATATCTAACAGCTAGAGGGGAAATACAGATTGCGGCGGAGGAGAAGCGGAGCTTGGGGTTCTTCGCATCCCCAGTCAACGGCAAACGCTCCGATAAATGCCCAGCGACTTCTTCGGAATACTTTTCAAGGAAAAGGCACCAATTAAACCAAAACCAAACATAATATAGTATAAAATTTGAATTGTATCACTTGGTGGTGAGGGTTACGGAATTGCTCTGGGCAGAATGAGGACTGGTGCCAGCCAGCAAGGCAAGGATTGAGACCGCCGCCAGTGCATCCCCAACGCTCACACCGTCGAGGATCTACTTCGAGTACTCGTTCTCCCTTCTTTGAAAGTCCGTGTATATTTTAGAATACCTTAGGTGTCTCACGCCCACACATACTTCTCTGGATCTCGAGAATGGTTGGTCTCAAGCTCCTGTCGTTGGCGCTCGCCACCATTTTCTCGGTGGGCACCAACAGGGCAAGCGCAGCTGGCAGTGTAGCCACAGCCAGTAAGTCTTTTGAAACAATTTTCGCAAATCTAAGTCATAGAGAAAGTAACGCGAAAAGACGTCGAAATTGTGCACGGTTGTGTTGGGCGGGCGTATGCAGACAAGGCAGACAGGGTGGATTGCTCGGAGTCAATGAACGCGGCCCGCAAACTTGTCGGCTTCGCCGACCTCACACAGGGAGAGGAAGGAAACGAAAAACTCCCAATAGACCCCGCTGCTAAGGCCCGCACTGAGGCCGTAGCCGCTTACGTGAAGTCAGTGTGCACGGCGTTAAAAAGTGTAAGTCGCGGTACTAAATTCCTTGA